CGTTTTTTGAAGGCGAACAGAAAAGTATGATGGGGTTGCTGGGCCAGTCTGTTCTTGTTTCATGTATTCCCGAGTGCCACAGTATGCCCAGGTTTGTGATCCAGAGGCAAAGTTACGGACTTGGTTTTGGGGCTTTTGCTGACGCAGGAAAACTGGACACTCTAGGTGGGGCCTCCTCAGTGTCTATGCGGAAGAGAATGCCTTCGCCATCTGTCCGGCTATAAGATGGCCACCCTGGCTGCATATGATCCCGGACATGGGCTACACCCCTGGCCCTCCCATCCGCAACGTCCGGAGTAGGCCAGAGGTTGCAGCACAGTACTCTACACCACCAGTAACCAGCCATGGTTGAGGAGTGAGTGAATCGTTGCTGTCCATCCCTGCTGCATATTGCGAGGCATGCCGCTTTCTAGGCTGCATGCATCTTCGAACTATCCATTAAGCAAGGAAAAGCAGAATATGGCGGGGGACATATGCCCAGTCTAATGCTTTTGACAAATGCAAGCACCTCGACCAGCCCAAGTGGCTTCGAGCCTTGCCGATTATGCAAACGATCTTTGGCGAGAAGACCTCTGGATCCTGCACCAAAGGCCAGCAATGCCTTCGAGGCAGGAAAGAAGCAAGTGAGACGTAGGCAGTAAGCGGAGCCAAGTGTCAGCCTTCGAGCACTAAGAAAGGGTGGCCTTCAGGTATATACGGCAAGCAAAATGCACAAACACCAAGTAGAACCATAACCTCTTTTTGCCATTCGCTGCGCAGTGAGCCGATAGGAGCGAGAGCCTTAGTTCTACGTTCCTAACCGGCGGGTGGTAGATAGTGGCAATGAAGGATGACCAGGGGGAACCTTAGTTCCCGCTGTTGATGTCCGACATTTCCAATTTTGTACAAAGAGGTACAGATATCATGCTAGGAGAGTTCAAAGTTTCACCTGTTTCACACGGGCCTTGCATGCAGCAGACCACTTTTTGCAATTACGCAGCGCCTCACTGACTCAAGTGACACCCCCTTGTGGCGCCGGTGCGCGCCGAAGGGTGCTGGGGTTGCCTCCCTTCGGGGAGGTTGCGCCTTCTTCACCCTTAGCTGCAGGCTTTCCTCGCTTGCAATTGCCGCCACGTTTTGACTATTGTCGAGCAACATACGACTGGCCTTGTATGCGCCACCAGTTGAATGGGTTGTGCTACAAGAATGGTCTTTTCCACGGATTGCTGCTCAGATATTGTCATTCTTGGTCGACATGACTACAATCGGCGTTGGAGCATCGCGAGACAGTTGACCTGCAATGTGGCTTTGTTTTGCCACACTGTGGTGTGGCCGCTGGTCACCAATATTCGGGAAAGTAAAGTCCTTTTGAAACCCTTTTTGAGACTTTGCTAGAGCACAGACCTGCGCCGACATGCTTTTCGTTCGTGAATTCAGGCCCGTTGCTAGTCACTAGTTTTCGTTTCACCCGTTTCACCTAGCACAGAGGAAAGACTACATGATGGTGGAGACTCGGCCTGTGGGCTTTGGTTTGTTTGGTTTTTTGGGTTGTGTTGGTTGTCCTTGTTCTTTTCTCCACCATCAGACTGTTCTTCCCTCCCTTCAACGATGACCTGGGCACCATGCCCACACGGCGTCCGTACTCGTGGAAAAAAAAAGATAAATACACAGAGTGTGGTGCTCCAATTGAGACAACCAGGAGGAACATTTCTCAGGTTCAGCCCAAAGAACTGCACGCTCTACGCATCGTCAATTCTAGGAAGTGTGAGTAATGCAATGGTTAGGGTGAGCCATGTCATGCTTAACGCTTCCTGCGTTCATACCAGGATCTTGTGGCCAACTTCCAAAGTCAAGATGGACGTGATCGGGGAATCACTGATGCCTCCATCCCTTTCGGGAGAAGAAATACAGGCAGTCATCGACCTGCAAGAGTTTGATCGATTAGACGAGTTTGAAACTGCTGTCCTTGAGCAACTCCCGACTATTATTGGGGGACACAGCACTTTTGGAAGCGAGCTTGTCTTTGTGCACAAAGACACAGGAGAAATCCTGGCGAACCCCATCTGGGACACCCTCATAGACTGTAACTGCTTCAACCTCGTGAACCGACGATGCTTTAGCCAAGCCGAACACAAAGGGCAACTGAAGACGCGTGCGAAGCAATTCGAGTTCCGCCCATTCACACAGGCCGCGTGCAATCCCATGCCTTCACGCGCGCAAATGAAGTCAGGCATGTGCAAGTAGAGGCAGGAACACACACCATCAACGAAGCAGCCTGGCAGCACTGCAACAGGCTCAAATAGTCCAATTACCAAGCATAGTAGTCTGTCTGCAAGACGGAGTCTTCCGTCGGAACTACGTACTCCACACTGTCATGGCCTCAGAGTGCAAAAAATTGGACTCTGGGTGTTTGAAGAATGCTACGCATTAGCACAGATTGGGGACCAAAGCACGACGGTAAATCAGCTGGCGCCGCAGACGCAGCTTCGACCAAGAGCCTTCGAGAAACGCAGCGCCTTGCAACAGCTCAATTTCGAAACAACAGAGTGGGACCCTGCAACTTAAAACGTTCCATGCCCGAGAGTTGCTTTTTCGAGGCGGAGATAGAGTTGTTGTTCCTGCCTGCAGACTTCAACTGGATGGAACCAGCCGCATGTGAGCATTGTAAGAAGTTGCGACCAGTGGACATCTCACAAACCGAAATCAGTGAGACTGAGGGGCACCTTTGCACATTGCTCGCAGCTGCAACAGCTTCGACAGACCAAAGCAGTGTGGCGCATTGGGCGAGACGCCCTCCTAGATTGCACCTCCTTGGGGGAACTATGCACCCCAACTGCTTTGCTCTACATCGACAAACGAGCATTTGCTGGCTGCACACAGCTGTGTAAGCTCATCAGAGGAGGAAGAAAAGCTAATTGAAGAGGGACTTACGCAGAGAACGATGCATTTGAGTCATGCAAGCAACTTGCATGAACAAAATGGATGAGGGTAGTCCGAAAGCATTGAGATAGAATGAGAAGTGGGCCGACTTCATGCGAAGCTGTGCAGAATCGAACCTCAGAGGAGCCTGACAGCTCAGATCTGCGTCCACATGCAGGTTCCGAGAAGCCACAGAGCCAACGCAGGCGACACTGCTGCCAATCTGAGTGGCTTGACAGTGCCCAAGACTGCCTTCCAAGTGGTCTTGGATGAATACAGAGCACAGATGCACAGTTCTTGGGACCTGGCATAGCGGCGTTTCACAGTTTCACTTGGTTCATGGAGCATGCATGTCTTCGCTGTTTCAAGGGCACTTGAATTGCAATATGGAGATGCTGAGCTTGTTGAGACTTGTCAACAGAGTCCTGCCTGCAATATTTCCTGACGGCGAGATAATGTCACGCCGCTTCATCACGATTGCTCCCGCTGACTTTCGTGAGCTTGACACTCGATTGCTCGGAGTATCTCTCTCACGACAAGCCATCTGTGCACAGTTGACTGTGCTCAACCAAATAGCGCTCTTCGCATTCCTTAGGATTTTGATCACAGTGAGTCGGAGACAGGATGTCCACCCCTGTTTCAACTTGTTGTGCTGCCAATCACGTGCCGTCATGTGCCAATTTGCGATACCTTCTTGGAACAAACTGAACCTGCCTGAGGCAAAGTCGTGTTCTTGGATTTGAGTCATGACTCCCCTTGCCACAACGCTATTGCTCGCAGGACTCCAAACTCCTGCACACGCTTGGACACTCCTGGTGCATAAGGGCAAGCACCAACATTGTCATACAAGTGCTCACTGCCCACAAAAAAGAATTTCCTGATCTTCAAGCACGAGTGCCAGCAGAAGAACGAATTCAATGCCCCGTTTCACCTCTCTTTCACGACAGTTGCTTCGGGTTTGACAGCTCTGATGAACCCGGTTTTTGTTTTTTTTGTGGGTTGGTTTTGTTTTGGTGGGGTTGGTTTTGGTTTTGTTGTTTGTGCTTTGTTCTCGCCAAGCTCGTATCTCCTTAGTATCCCTATTTAATTCAATCAAGGTGACTTGTGTCTTTCGGCACACACAGCGCCTCCACTCGTGCAAAAAAAAAAATAGGTGCGGATTTGGACGCGCCCGTATGCCGCTAAAGCAGCCTTCGGGTTTGGAATGGGCTCTACCGCCTTTCCAACCACAGTCATCTTCACCTCGAAGCCCTCTGTGATCGTCATTCGAACTCCACGGCCACAGACGACAGTGCTCTGCAGTCAAGCTTGACTGTTTGGAGTCGAGACAACTTTGCCAGGCGGCGCCCACAGAGTGTGTGCCCACTTTCCACACGTGCATGTCGAGACATGCGAGAAGGCAAAAGACAGCACTCGATCGGTGTCGAGGGCACTGAAACGCTTTGATTCTGCGCCACAAGCGTCACCATGTGGGTCCAAATCGTGCAGGGCTCATTCAACAGTTTCATGACCGACCCGTGCATCATTGTCCAAGCAGTCAGAATACGCAGATCAACCAGCTTTCCCAGCCACGCCGCGATTGGCGAAAGCATATGAGCAGGAAATACTAGATGCCAAGTGTGGCCAATCTATTTCTTCCATGAATCTTGCTTCCGCAAAGAAGTGCCTGTCTGGCTCCTCCAGAAAACGAACAACTTCAGCCAAAACAGCCAAAACGCAGAAAACGATTCGATCATGATCGCAAAGAAGCCTCCCATGCTTGCTGAACCAGTCTTCCCAGCAACAGTGGATGCAGCTTTCCTGACTGAGGAGAAATTCGCGGGGCAGAACCGTCTGTTACGGACATGGCTGATGAAGCCTGATGACGAAACATACCTGGTTCGCGAGGGAGAGGGATGCTTCTTGTTCAGAAGAAACTTACTCAACCGTGCGGCGCGAACACTTGAAGTCCGCAGAGCCGGCAACAAATATGAAGTCATCGCAGCCTGGCTCCTTGAAGGTTTGGCCAACATATCATATGAGAGTCACCGGGCAAACATTGACGAAGTTTCTGGGAAACATTGTAAGCTTCGTGTTGTTGCCAGGACACATTGCATCATCCTAATGAACCATGAACCATACAAACCTGTCACGGAAGCGCGCTGAAACGGAGGAGTGAGTCCTTGAGATGGGTAAATTTTGACATTGACGTTCCAAAAAATGTGTTCGGGTGTGTGGTCTTTGTTTGTCACATTGCAGTGTGCACCAGCACTTGTATTGGATACCAACCAAAACAACTCTTGGTGCACGCAATCCAAGTTTTCATTTTGCAGTGATTGGACCTAGGTGAAAGTCGCAAATTTTCTGCTCAAAAGGCTGTCGCAATGCTCTTTTTGGGGCGTTTGCAGCCTTGCCCGTTCGATTTCATCCGATCCTTTGTCCAATTGGGTGGGTGGGCAAAAAGATGCTCAATGAAATGAGATTGTTCAAGCTCCACAAGGGTGACAACACGACCAACAACCTCAAAAGATGCCGGGATGTTTTGCCGGTGTTGATGCCAAAACTCATTGTGTTTTGTTGCTTCAAGCGATGGGTCAATTTGTTGCTCAATGGGTGCAAAAACTATGTTGCTCCACCTTAAATGAAAGGGTTCAGGGACCTAAATGTTCAAAACACTGGTCCTGACTTCAGATTCTCGAAGAGTCTAATCCAAAAACAATCAATTCAGCTAGAACTCCATGATTTACGTGATCATCCAAACCACAAGAAACACACACACAGCGTGTCACTCAATGATACATATGTATGACAAAGGCTGGGATTTGGGTGTGCCTTGCCACTTACTGTTTTTCTATATTGAACTTTTCAGTGAGAGTGTGTTGTTCGCCACACGGCACTAAGGATAGCGTGATTGAAGACAGCTGGTCGTGGCCCGAGCTAGTCTTTGCAAGTGACCTGTCTTTGGCGTTTAAACACCCTCCCAAGGCAAAGACATCCTGTTGCCATGCCCTTTACAAGGCCAACTTCGAGTGGCCTCTTTTGCTTGGCATTTTGTCTAAATGCAGGAGGGAATAAGCGAAGCAGCGAAACATGCGGCTCCATTTTGGCTCCTCACTGATTACACCAGATGGTTCTTTCATTTACCTCACTGTGTCTCCTCGGCCAGCTTCTTTGCTGCGGATTGGAATGCGAGCCAGTCCACGGCCATTTCTGTTGACATTGCAGGGAACTTAACCTCATCTCTTTGTCACGCAGCTGTGGGTCCAAGCGACCACATATCCCTTTTTGAAACTGTTTGAACAATATATTCTTACACTCAAGACGCTTGTAGATGAACATGCTTGGGTAGCTCAATTTTTGGACTCGAACTATTGCGGTGAAGTTCGCCAGCATATGACAACAGCCATGTCTGCATTGAATGTGGTGCGGCTTGATTGTGGGATCAGAGCAGGAAAACATGGCCGTTTCAATGAATCAAGATACTGTATTTGCAGAAAAACTTTAAGGAAGGTTTGCATGAGCGCTCTGACGATTGTTGAGGCCATGCTGGTCATTGTTGGCTGCTGCTTGTTCGCTTGGTGCTCCGACATCTACAGGCTTCTGGATGTCATCAGTTTTTAAAATCCGTTGGGATGTTTCCTCTTCATTATTTGTCTTGGGCATCAGATGCACAAGGATTCATCTTGGGCCTCAGAACGAGAGTCTTTCAAAATTTCTGGAGGCAAGTGGATTTTGCCAATTGGGCACTGGCTCCCCCGAGGGAGGACATCTTGCTTTGACTGATACCACCATCACTGATACCCATTGATCGAAGCGTGAATGGAGTAGTTTGCCACGAAGGAGCTTAATTTGTTCCATGAAAATTCTGGGATGTTTGTTGGCACCCAGTGTGTTTGATGAATCCGTGGGACTTTATTTGAGCACCTGTTCAGAAGGTTTTGCCTCACCTCCAAGCCTGCTGGACCAGTAGCCCAGGACCTGCAAGATCAGATGATGGTAGTGGGAGGACCTGACACCATGCCTGTGTGCCCACGGGGCCCATGGTCTCCTGGTCAAACCACCACCACGGCAGCATGGACAGGCTTTGCCCGGGCTGGGGTGCTGTGCGACGCTTTGACAGCGATGGCAATGAGGAGCGGTCGTTGATGTGCAACAACGTCACACGCAAAGCTGCAGAGTCGCAAGACGAAGCCAGAAACGAAGCCAAGCATGCAGAACACATTTCACTTCACAGGAAATGCAAGAAACTGTAGGCAGAAACAGACCCCTGCGCTTCAGACACTTTAGATACTTTCTGAGTGTGTTTGCTGAGTGTCGCGTGCAAGGACCGGAGAGCAAGAGAGAGCTTGCTCCAAAAGGATTTTGACCATCGTCAGGAGAGGATCTTGAAAGGTACTTAGACAGTGCTAACTGCCGAAGCGTGCTAGAATCTAGAAACTCTTCATCCAAGCGTTCGTTTATCTTTATATATTTACTGTATGAATTTTTGAACTCACAGTTTGCTATGCTTGTTCAAGGGAAGCAGCGGAGATACTGCGGATGAACCAGTCATTCATTTTGAATTGAACTTTCCCGAGGTATATTTCCCTGAATTTTGTCTTGCAATGGGTGATTCTGTCTCTCAAGTCTGTGAGACACTTGTTAGACTACAGAGACTGCAGGCAGCAGCCTTGGAAGCCTCAGAGGCGCCAAAGCTCTATGGCGCCCTGGGTGCGGAACTTATGGAGATGGGCTTGGAGTGGGGTGGTGCGCAGCAGCTATGCAGGTGTTCTTGCTCTTGGACCTTCACAGTCTCAAGCATTTCTGATCAAGGGAATTTGGGAAATATCTACGCCAAGCTTCCTCAAGGAATTTGAGGTAATTTGTGACCCATAATGATCCAGCCATTGGTGCCCCGTGATTCATCCTCAGGTCCTCCAACCTGGGGCGTTCTGGAGTCACCAAACCAGCAGGAGGTCATGGTGAATCATCCGGCCGTGCCCTGAGGGCTGTCGGGATGGTTGGGATGGGTTTAGCTTCGTAAGTTTGCTGGTCATTTGCAAAGTCCCAGATGCATATCGGAAGATGTGGCGCCGGGTTACCGCTTCTGGATCCGTATCCAATTCGCCCTTCCCTTCTGATCTGGAAGTGTTGTGTTGCCCTTTGTCTCCTTTCTGTTGTGTTTAGTGCTTTCTCGTTCTTCGCAGACTGCACAAAAATTGCTGCTTTCCTGAAAGCCATGGTTTTTGTGCAGATTCTCATCCTTTTTGGTTGTCGATTAAAACCGAGAAGTGCATGGGAGTTTAGATCTTCAAAGTTTTCGAAGTTTCCCGTCCGCCGCGCTCGCCTGTCTCCCGGGAATGAAATGCTCACTTCGATCAGCCTGCTTCCTGAGGTCCATGGGCAAGTGAAGGTGCGCAGCAACTTCGAGGAGACGCAGCAGCTGCGCAGAGAATCCACGCGTTGCAGCTGCAATGAAGTGGTCGTTCCTTTTTGTTGCTGCCCGACTCTCGTTAAAAGACTTTAACCTCAAAACAAACCGGAATAGCATCAAACACATAAACTCGTGATGCTCCTGATGCCACCAGGGTGACCTGCATCACTAGCATTTTGGGAACTCAAGTCATCTTGCCAAGGCTTTGTTTTGCTCCCTTTTGAGTTGGGTCCGTTGAAGCCATCCTTCTTTCAATCGATTTGCAGTTCTCACTTCGCAGCGAAGCAGTGCGGGTAGGACGGGTAGGAGGTCGTATATCAGAAAGTCCTTTTTGAAGCCAATGCAACACCTCAAAATGCCAGTACTTTGTCTCGTGTGTGACGGAGATCGTGCCGGTGAATCCGGTCTTCGCTGTCCTCTTCGTCTCACACCGCTCGGACTGAGGTGGTGGGCCAAAGATGAGCGCTACTTTGCGGAGCAGGCGAGCGAGCCTGGGGGAGCGAGCCGCTGGAGACGGTGGATTATACAAACTGTTTCAATGCCTCAAGGCAACGGCGTTTAAGATTGGTGAAGAAAGACCTATATACCAAAAAAAAGGGGATTTGAAGAATGGGTCGTTCCCAAGAAGTACCCTGGCCGTTCCCAGTGCGAAGATTTGGAGTTTTCATGAAATGAACGGTGTGAGATGATAACCACAATGCCACGACACCCCACAGGCGAACCTCCGCCGCGGCGAGGCGTGAAAGCGGGTGCCGAGAGAGGGCAGAACTGTGACGGTGGTTTGGTGAACAGTTTAGACGTGCATGCTGCATGTCACATGGGTGTGACTGTGTTCATGTCTTTTTGTTTTGCTTCGAAATGGGGGTGTGTCAGGAGTTGTCCTGCCTTGCATATAAGTCTTGTGTTCTTCCTTTAAAAGCAATCTCCTTGCTTGAGGCATCAACGTTCCTGATTGCTTCTTTCTTTCCCTCAAGTTCAACATAAGAGAAACGCAATGGGCGATTGCGATTTAGTGATTCGCAGAAACAATGGCCCAAACTTGTTTTTACCCCAAGTGTGTCAACTTAAGTGACAAGATGCCCTTGAAAGTGCACGTCTCAACTTGCTTGAGGCAAAACCAAAAAGGACATGAGTGACTCCGAACATCTACGCTAAACAGACGGACCGTGGCCAGCTTTGCGTGAACGAGCCCTTCGCCAAGCTGGGTAGCGCCATTTGAGGCGTCCTCTGGAAGGACGGTTTTTTTGGGGCGAAGGGCTGAGAGGTGCCCGGACCAAGCGGGACCGACGGATTCTCGACTGAGTCACAACACTCGACGGATCCTCACTGAGGGAGAGGAAGATAGGAAGATGGACCTCATTTGTTTGCACCTTTCTTTTCCCAGTGATGAGGTGTTGCATGATTGATGGCAGAAGGCAGGCCCCCCCTCTCAAGACTCAGGTCTTGCTATGTTGGCATCGGAAGACATGGATGTGCAAATGCCATGGCAATTGCTACTAGTAGCGATGGCCTCCAACCTACTTGCGATGGCCTCCACCTAATAGTGTCCTTGCTACTAGTAGTAATGCCCTTTGTTCCTAGTAGCTTCTTGCTCCTAGTAGTAAGGCCAGGAGCCCCTAGTAGCGTCCTTGCTCCTAGTAGTAATTGATGGTAGAGGCTTGGACCGAGGCTTGATCCACAGTGTAACAGTGAGCCCACCCAAGTCGAGTCTGTTGAAGGAAGGGCAAGGGGGGGCCAAAAACATCGGTTTTGAGTGGGTCTCCAGATCAATTCCAAAGAAGTCCAAAATACAAACCCAGTTTTGTAAAACTTCTCCAGATCAAAGATCCTCTCCTCTTGCAAGGAGTCCACGACGCCACGATGCTGAGTGGCCGTTTCATGCGTTGAATCGGACCCTCATTGCCGTTGAGAGACTCAACGACAAACCTCATTGCGCCGGGATCTTTGCAAACGACGATCCTGCTTGACCGTTGTCCTTTCGCTACAGAAAACAGGGTAGAAGCCGATGGATCTGATTGATAGGAGGATGGTCTGTGGATTTCAGAGGGCCATGCGCACAGTGTACGGTTGTAACGCTGACTGCGATGCTTGGCGCTAGCCCTGGGTCACAAGGGCTTGTGGTCTGGGTGTTTTGTTCCTGAACTGCCATGTGTGGCACTTCAATTCATGAAGACTCAAGGCTTTAGATGGCCACTGGTAAACAAATATTATACTTGGTGTTTGCCGCAGCCGCTGCTCACTCGCCGCGCGGTCCACCAGTACAATAATTAGCGCAATAGCTGACATGATTGTGCCTTTGCAAAAGGGTCTGGGATGACGTTCCCGCCATGTTGCAGGGGGGGGCTTCAGAGTTCCCACAATGGAGCTTAGACGTATGGTTTATGTAAGCTTGGTGCACAAGGAGGGATTGTCCAAGGTTGGGGTTGGAGGATGCCATACATATCCACTGTATATATTTGTGTGGGCCATAAGTGACGACATACACAGCAATAATGACTTCACAAGCTGTTTGCAACGGTCGAAGCATTCTGCACTTTTGTTTAAACCGGGAAGGGAACAAACACCATTCGCTTTCTGCAGATTTGCCTTTCAATTCTTGTTTTACCTTTCTCTGTCTCATCAGTCGACCTACTGTATTTAATATGTTCGAAGCCGATGCATCGCTTTAGAGTCCTTTGGTTGCTGTGTTCGGTACAAAGCTGACCTGGCTGGGTCCATTTCTTGGGTCGTTGGAGTGTCAAGACGGATGGACGAGCGATCCAAGTTCCAAAAGCATCGACCATGTGGGTGGCCAACTTCCGATTCCGAAGCGGTGATGACCTTCGAATTCATTCAGGCCCAGGGCCCTACAGGCTGTGCCTGTACCGTGGTCATCGATGAGGGAGCGAATGAGCCAAACTTGCAGATTGCTTTGAGCCAGTTGCGAGAGATTGAGAACACCGGCTTGCAGGCCGACCTCAGGAGTCCGAGCTAGTCGGGTCGTGGAATGCTCAAAAGATTCCCAAAAAGACTGTCGTTTTGCTAGTCGGCCTCCATGTATCTGGGGGTCTGCCAGTGAAGCCTTTGAAGCACTTCTGCAGTGATTGCCGCTGGTGAAATGATGTCCGGTTTCAGTCCACATAAACGCCTCTGCCTGCTCTTATGACCCTCCTTCTCCCTCTGACGGAGGTGCCGCTAGTCTTTGTCTTGGTCCAGGGCACCCAAATTCGGCAGACGCTCGGCGAGGAAATGGGTGACTGGAAGATGTTTCTTTGGCTCCGAGATGTCCCAGCCTTGAGAGGGGTATCTTTCACTCATAGTAACAAGGGCATCGCTACTAGGAACAAGGGCCTTACTACTAGGAGCAAATAGCTACTAGTGACAAGAAGCTACTATTCTCAAAGATTTCGTGACATGTTTTAATTTGCCTGGCCGGGCTCACTGCACGTCACAGCCGTCACAGCCACCCAGGCTTCAGGAGAGCGTCGCCTCAGTGGAAGTGGCTCGCGCGGTGCTTGCACTGCCACAGCCTGTCTACGGCGTTGCTTTTGGTGATGTGTCACCCCGGGGCATGACGATTTTGGAGGCGGGGCAGATGGCCAGGGACACAACAAATGAACACAAGACGCGACTCGGACAAACTTCCACCAGTACCTGGCTAGATTTGCTCGACCTTCAAAGAACATTTCGTTGTTGGCAGCGACAAGGTGCTTCGGTGTTTGGAGCCATGAGCACATGAGCACCACAGAACGCTTCCCACAGAACTGGTTCTGATTCCCTCACGGGCTTCCTGGGCAAGAATGCCTAGAAAGCACCCAGTGTAAGCAGGGAAAAGCTACTTAGAATGATTCAGAGGAAGGCGGATTTCCATGTTCCCTCAACAGCAGTATGGGGTGGGGACTCACAACCTTTTGCACATAAAGCTATACTACTAATAGATTCTTGTTCCTAATAGCGATGCCCTTGCTCCTAGTAGAAATATGCCCTTGCTCCTACCTCATAAAGGTTCCATTTCCAACTCTTTCTTGTTGCACTGGACGGGAACCATGGACCTGGGAGGCCTGTGATTGCGTGCTTTCAGAACTTCCGCATCCCAATCTTGCCAGCCGTGTTCTCCATCCCGTTGAGATTGCCATGGTTTGCGAAGTCCTGTCAATGGAGGAACCGGGGATTACTGGAATTATTGGTGTGAGGGGAATGGTTGGGAGTGGGAAGTTGGAGGAGTCTTGCCTTTTGTGTCTTCTCACGATTCAACGGTCAACGTGTCGGGTGCACCCGAACTGTTCTTCCCTACGGGTGCTGCAGTTGATCCGTAGACACCAATGGATTCAACATACTTGGCCTGTGGGTCAAAAAAAGGGCCCACTTGGCTTAGTGACTTAGTGTGTCTTGGACGGAGGACCTCTCTGCTTGCAAGTGCAAGTAAAGACCTTGAAGCATTGACCAAAACATTCCAGGCAGGCGGTTTCATTTGTTGTCCAAGGCTGACACTGTCCCAACCTACGTAATGGTTCCTGAGCACCGTTCCCACCAGTCATGGTAGGGCCGTTCTCACTGTTTGCCATAGTCTGACTCTGCGAGGCCGCAGGTATGCACTGGCTGGAGGTGGAAGCTGCAAAAGAGCATTTGCATTTGAACAAGCTGAGGAGAGGACTCGGAGAGGAGTTGGAGGGGAGGATTGGAAGCTTTGTTGGTTCCCTCACACAAGCAGGGACTGGTGAGTATGTCAGAAGTATCAAACACATTGCTCTGGTACTGAGGATACAAAGGGAGCATCAGTGGGGAGAAGACCTTGGTGAATTTGTTCCTCACATCAGCAGGGAGAGGATAGTTTCATATAGTTTCCATGGGAACCTAATGATGCAATGTCGGGGGTATTCGTACTTGGTTACCAGGAGGGTTGAGAAAACGAGCGCGCTTGGTCCCCAGGTGGAGAAACTCCGCCTTTACTCTATACAGACGAACGATGACTAGATGACTTCTCCAGAGAGCAAGAGCTATTGGGATTCTTACTGAAGAGTATAGGAAGACGTGCCTGTGTGCTCTTTGGAGCCTACTGTGCTGGTGGAGCGGAACCAGGGCGCTGCCTACAAATATCCTGGGCGCTCGTGTGGGATCTATGCTGGTGTGAATTTTGTAAAATGATATGGACGTCGACAAAGGGAGTCGTAGCCATTGGCTGCGCACTTCAAACCGGCAGAAAAGGAGTGGTAAAGAACAAGCAGCGCCAGTTCTGTTCAACCATCGTGGTGATTCCCACAATCCTCCAAAAGCATCGCAGCCCCATATGCTGACACATGCCCCTTGCCGAACCAATTTTTCCGTGACCTAAAAAAGGGCATCGTTTCTTTTGTGTTTCAAGTTGTATTGTTTTGCTCCCTCACCCCGGTATTCGGCTTTCAGCATTCTTCCAAGAGTCTCGAAACGTAGCCAAAGTCTTTGACTGGTTTTCGGGCGCAATCCGTGGAGCAATGCCAGGACTCGCTTCCCTTCCTTGGCCAGGGCCGAGCCGGTGGCAACGCGGGAGTTGGGATGGATGTCAGTCCAATCTCAACGAGTTGAGCGCATTCTGATTGATGCTTGGCATGCCAACAGGACGGTTGATATCAAAATACATGCCGTTTGGGGGGCATTTCCTCGAGTTTGAACACACAGAGCTTGACATCGAAACCAGGCAGTCGTTTGGGGTCTCAAACTTCTCCACCAAGATCGGGAGACAATCCATGCAATTTTTTTTCTTAGGTTCGTATTCATATATTCACACTTGCAGGGAGCTTGCGGATGCAAGTTTTATGTTCACTGAAGTTCACAAAATGTCCCACCGGGACATTTTGGCTCAAGTTGGTAGCAATCGCACCTGAAGGTTGGGAAGAAAAACTTCCTTGGACACTCCCTAGTACATTGGTGATTTTTTGACGACGACGCACTGGCGCACCCAATGGAACCGGAGTATGTCATGATCGAGTCCGTGCGAGATGCCCAGCCGGACGTCGAGGATGGCACCACAATCAGCAGCCCAGGCATGGAGAGCCTGGACGCCGCTGCAGACGCAGCATCCACAGCCCTCCGTCATGCGGAGGCAGAAGGTGCAAGAGGCTTAGCCGTGTTTGGCCAGCCTGTCTTAGTTTCTGAGCTGGATGCTCAGGAGAAGATTCGTGAACTCGAACGCCACTTGGAGGCCCTCAAACTCCAGATTGCCGAGCGCGAAGACGCGGACATGGGTGTGGACCTTCTGGGCCTGGAGAGCCCGGCGGATGACGGCGCTTGCCAACCCCCTTCTGCTCCTGGTGCCCCTGGCGCAGCGGCGGAGGGGGTGGCCCCTGCTGCTGTGGTGGCCCCGTCGACGAGCCCTACTACACGATCAGCGGCAGCGGCCCAGCCTTCTATGCTCGGAACCCCCTTTGGCTTGGCCTGTTGCGGCGGAGCCACGCCTGCGGCACCTGACAACCAGATGGAGGAGGACACCACTGAGCGCCCGGGCTTAGGTTTCACGCCCCCTGCACCTGCAGGGTATGTTAGTGACCCGGTAGATGCCATGGCGGCGGACGCTTTGCCGTTGACGCCCCCGGCGAGGGTAGAGGCGCCAGAACCTCCGAGACCTACCAAGAGGCCGGCTCCGCAACCTATGGAGGAGCCTACATCCAAGACGCCTACGGGCGCGATCTCCATGCCAATCAGGTTCCTCCCGGTGCCGGAACCGGAGAACCATGTCCGGTTCGCAATGTTACCGGACTCTTTCCCGCCCATTCCGGGCCACTTGGCGGGGCTTCTCACCTCTTGCTCCGAGAAGGAGATGGTCCAGCTCTTCGACCAGTTCACCGGCTACCCTTTGTCAACACCGGTGGTCACCCGCATCATTGAGCAATACCTCCCCCTGCGGGCGATGGCCATGCAGGAAAAGATCTGGACCCAGCGGTATCAGAAGGCCACCGACAAGTCCGGCCTGACCGACCAGAAGGGCCTCCACTTGCCTGCAGGCGACATGCCCTTCCACTCCATGTGCGGCAAATGCATGACGCCCTGGCCGGACAACCCCGCCCGGTGCTGGACCTGCAAGCATGACCAAGCGATCGAGTACCAGCGGCCTACATCCATCATGGAGGTGGGGACTGAGACCTGGACTCTGCTCTACGAGGCCGGCAGGCCAGTCTGGCGACGAGCT